GATGTGATCCGCTTGAAGTCTTCTTGGCTGCAATAACATCGCCACCAGCACAATGCCCCTCATTTATCCGGGAATGCCTCGCCGAGTCTCAAGGCTTCGCTGCCGCGAGAGTCCTGCCCCGGCTCGCAGTTCAGAGGTCAACGCTTCCGTTCGATCTCCCGGCGCGGCAGACGACGGCTTAAACAATGGGGAGGGGCAAGTTTTGTTTAAAATCGCCCCGACCGTCCGCTGCGGGGTCCTACTCAGCGGTGTCAATGAGTGCGCGGCTACAAGTCGCTATCGGCAGGTAGTGTGTGGTCGGGTAAAGTGTGGGGACTTTTACTCACCAACTCACTCGCCTCGCCTACCCGACCGCTCGCTCACCAACTCACTCGCCAATTGGAATACAAAGGAATGCGGCTGTGGTGCTGGCCACCCACCCCCTCGTGTGCCGTGCCGGCCCTCATAGGCTGCCACTCGCTAACAGCACTTGCTCCTCTAGTTTGCTAAGGCTGTACGTGAGAGCTTTGTCGTTGTCGTGATGATGGAGGAGACGTGGGCGCGACTTCGCCCAAAGTCACACGGAAAGGAGGAGGAGGAGAAGAAGCATTAGCTCGGACCGCGTGGATCGAGCCCTGGGGGTAGGCGAGTGATGTTTGACTCCAGCACGTGGTGCTCGAGTCAAACGGAGTGGTGCCACGTGGTGCGTTCATGAGTGAGGGGGTGCCCGCGGAGTGGTGCCACGTGGGGCGGGTAGGTGGGAAATTTTGGGGGAGAGGTGGGGGGCAGAGGGAGCGGGGGGGGGCGAGAAGTGCTGAATGTAGAGATCATCATCAGCAGTAGCAGCAACATCAGCAGCAACATCATCAGCAGCTGTAACAATAGGGAGCATCATCACCACCATCTCCATAACAAAGTTGGAGTTAGGGCCATTGTTTAAACTAAGGTTACATAGGGTTAGAGTCCTAGTTGAAGCTAGTTTAATGTTGGTGTCATGGTTTAAGCCAGGGGTGAAGAACCCAAGCCTGCGAGATGGTAACTCTTTCGCCTGGTCTACAGGAGGCCGTGGGCTCCAACCCGACCCTGACGCCTGCTGTATATTTGGAGTTTGCGTGTCTTTCTCCCCGTGATCGCGTGGATTTTTTCCACGTTTAGAATCCACACGCGTTAAGACTATGTGGCGGCTATAAATGTCCACGTGAAAATCCACTTGGTTGAGCTGTCATTTGTGATAGCCAGGTCGCTCCTGAAAAAAGAGCTGCATAGCTCAGTGGACCTTACCCTTGAAAACAATAAAATAGTCGTAAAACAAATCTTGTATCATGTCGTTACACGCACTTGCCAGTCGGAACGTGGCCGTGTACCGGCTGTTAGTGAATCGCTTTGATCGCGGGTGTGTGTTGCCGTATTCACCAGGTAGAGCACGTCCAATAATCACCCATTGGGTTGTTGTACCTGTGCCAACGAGAGAACACGACCTGACCCACGGCACCTTGACTTCATTCAACACGTCCCTGCACCACGTGAATCCTTGCTAAGGTCGTGGAGGCGACCCACAAACTGCTGCCAGCATCTTCGCCGCACTAATCGGGTCCTGCAGGGGGGGGGGGGGGGGGAGCATACGCCCACCCTGGCTAACGCCACGCACGGGAGGAGCCTCTGATGGTGATGGAGAGGTGTCGTTCGTGTGTCGGCTCATTCGTAGCCGGCAAAATTAGTCCGAAAGTTCTCTTCGGGCACCTTCGTTAAATGGAATGTTGCCACGCTGCTGTTTTGACGATGTGTCAGTGTTAGAACCATTTGTTAGAGCCAAAGTTTACCGCACCTCCGATTAGCACGGTTGGCTACGTACGGTGCGAAAGAGGTTCAACATACATACAATGTTAGTGTTAGAATGATGGTTTTTAAGCAGTGGTTCTGGGGTGCGAGATGCCTTGTCTGGGGGTGCGAGACACGGCCAGACCTTGTTAGAAGGTAAATCATAGAAGCACAAATTAAGCACGGACACGGATGTCACAACTACTACTTTGTTTCATCAAACCCTATGTTATTATTAACATTATACTTTTGTTTTACTTTTGAGAGCCAAAGAGTTGCAAGGCTGCAGTAAAGGTTATAAGCACCATGGTTTAAGCAGTTAGGGGTCTTAGTTTAAGCTAATGTTGGTGTCCGGGTCACTGCATTCTATTGTTAGGGTTAAGGTTCATAGCGCTGTGATTATCATATTTAATGGCCTGCACGATGTTACAGTTACGCCTTAGAGAAAGCGACTCATTCATCAAGTTGACTCCATTCATTCCTCATCGCGATGCCATTCATTCCACAACCTCGCCGGGTCATTAACTCCGAGCGAAGGGCCTCCTGCGTCTTCCTGTTGGCCTGCACCCACCCGGAGTGAAACCCTAAACCCAGAACGTCCGCGGCTCGTAAATCCTCGTGCCTCGTGAAACACCGCACGCGTTTGCATGTTTTGGTAAGAATTATTATTTTATTTGAAACTGTGTTTTTGTGCGCGTGTCAAACGAATCGTAAAAGCCACACAGTTTTAGAATACACGATGCATTTTGTCTGGGTTTATAGTTTACTGAGTTTGTGTGCGTGACGTGTGTGGTGGTGTCTGTGTGTCTGTGTGTGGGGGAACGGTAGTGTAGTTGTTAGCGCGCTGCGCTACGAACCCGGCGAGCCGAGTTCGGTTCCCGGTCATGACCAACACCGGTGGCGATTATCTGAACCGGGAATGGGCCTCCCCTAGGTCGACTCAGCCTCAAATTAGTACCTGGCGCGGTGTGTAAACATCGACACTGGGGAGACAAAGGCCGACCGGGCGTGGTGCTGGTCACCCACCCCCTCGTGTGGCGTGCCGGCCTTCAAAGGTGCTCGCTAACAGCACTTGTCCCAAAAGTCTGTTAAGGCTATACGGGGGATCTTTGTCTGGGATCGATTACCATCTCCGGCTTACGTCAGTGGTCCTGGTCCTGGGCCTCCCCTAGGTCGACTCTGCCTTTAAACGAGTGCCCGGTGCGGTGTGTAAAACATCGCAGTCCGTCAGCGGAGCGAGCAAGGCTGATGATCGTGATGCATCAGTTGGTGATGCTGCTGCAGCTGCGTTGGCAGGGGTGCACAAGCATAATTAACACATTCGTCAAGCAAAATATATAACAGGCGACGTTTCGGGAAATGCCCCTTCTTCATAGCAACGTAAATCAATGCATTAGTTTCGAAGGCAGTGTTGTTGAGGAATGTGATGAGTGTTTTGTTACTGGTGTTTGATTTAGATGCGCGTGTCTGTGCGTGCATAAATTAACAGCACTTGCCCCAACAGTCTGTTAAGCCTATACGAACGTGGGATCTCTGTCTTTGCATAAATCATGTATTACGTGAGTATGTTATTGATGTGTGCATGCGTATGGACATATACGTGTACAGCTAACATACACAATTAACACACATGCTGTACACAACGACACTAACCAATTCAAGGCCAACACTTTACATCATGCACCATTGTGTAGCACACGACACGTTACGGAGACTCTGCGTGGGTTTGTGTGTCTCTAAACTGGGTGTGCAAATGACCAAATCACTCGGCAGGCGCTCCATCTCTCGAGCGTGGCTGGTTGAGTGTTGGTTAGGAGAGGTGACCCGTATGCGTGACAGGTGCTATCGGATTCGGGATTTCGTTGTATAGGAATCAGAGCGCCATAGGGGGAAAAAACCCCCATTGTACTCTAATGTAGGTCTATACTGTCATGTATACCCCCCCCTCCCTACCCCCCCCCCTCCCCGGACTGACCGTCGTGGTGAAGTATGCTCAAAAAAGTCTCCCCGATGGTACGGCGAATCGGGGCGACTGCCCCAGGCCCTGTGCTTTGGGGGGAGACGGCGGGGAAGGGGGGGGGCTTCCACGTTGCGGTGTCAGAAGTAATACTTCGTCTGGTTTAGTTTGAAGGCGTTGGGGGGGGCATTGTGGGGGTTGCCCCGGGCCCCCTCCGCCCCCCCCCCCCAATGACGAATCTGGTGGTCAAATAACCCCAATGAACCGCACGGCGTGGGGAGGCCCTCATCCAGCAGTGGATTGTTATAAAGGGCCGTACATGTTTACGTGCACATGGGGAAATCTATGCTATGTGTGATGTGCTTACATGTGTATACATCCTGAGTTAAATTCCAGGTCACGGCTTGCAGCGGTGCACATTGGGATCCTCAAATGGAAATGGCCATCATCATTATTATTATTATTACATCTGAATCGGTTGCTGGCCGCCGCCCCGAGGCCGACTCCGCTTTTGCACGAGTAGCCGGTGCGCTGTTTCACTCATCGGCACTGGGGGAGACAAAGGCGGCCGGGCGTGGCACTGGAACACCGCGTTCGCTCCTGCACGCTGGTCTCTGTGCCAGGCAAGTGCTGTTAGTGAACGGCACACGAAGGGAGGGGGTAACCACCACCACGCCCGACCACATTTATTTCCCCCGAGTGACGATGTTTACGCACCGCACCAGCTACTCATTTGAGGTTGAGTCGACCTCGTGGAGGCCCAGGACCGGTTCGGATAATCGTCACTGACTTTGACCGTGAGCGGGGTAATCGGACCCGGGCCGCCAGGTTGGTAGCGCCAGCGCGCTAACCGCTCCCCCGTGCCGCTACCAGCACCAGCAGCAGCAGCAGCAGCACCAGCAGCAGCACCAGCAGCAGCACCAGCACCACCAGCAGCACCAGCAGCAGCAGCAGCAGCACCAGCAGCAGCACCAGCAGCAGCACCAGCACCAGCAGCAGCACCAGCAGCAGCAGCAGCAGCACCAGCACCAGCACCACCACCAGCAGCAGCACCACCACCAGCAGCAGCAGCACCAGCAGCACCAGCAGCAGCACCACCAGCACCACCACCAGCAGCACCAGCAGCAGCAGCAGCCCCCCGCCCCCCTCCTCCACTCGGCGTTCCCACGGGCGACCCGGCCCTGTCGCGTGGTCCGCCACCTTCCTCATTCTTCATGTAAAACTCATCAGCTGCGGTCACGTCCCTTCCACAACGGCTCCACTTCCCCGATTCGCGAGATTCCTCAATGGTCACTAACGTCCCCCCTCCTCCTCCCCCCCCGGGCAATAAATAGACAGGGCGTGGCGGTGTGGCAAAGAGGGCACGTGCCAGGTGCGAGCGTGGCAAGAGTGTGGGGGGGAGCGGTGGCGTAGCGGTTAGCGCTGCTGCCGCCGCTGCGAATCCGAGGTTCGATTCCCGCTCATGGTCAACGCCAGTGGCGATTTATTTGAACCGGTCTTGGGTCGACGAGTACCTGGTGCCAATGTGTAAACATCGCCACTCGGGAGACAAAGGCGGCCGGACGTGGTGCTGGCCACCCACCCCCTTGTGTGCCGTGCCGGCCTTCGTATGTGCGCGCTCAGAGAACTTGCCCCTACAGTCGGTTAAGGCTACACGGGGGATCTTTGTCTTTGTTGGTGTGGACTGGAGCAAAACTGGTCTCAACTCTGAAAACAATTCCACTGTATCCCATGCACAATGACGATACGAAAACGACACGATTGATCGATTGATATAGCTGAGCTCACGATACATGCATCCAATCGACGTTATTGGATTCGTACATATTGCATACAATGGACAAACCTAAGCCTCGTCCCTGCAGCCACGAGTGGCCGCTACATTCACCGCAACGTTCATAGAAAACCTCACAGAATCGATTCTTAAATCGAATGACCGGGAGTTGATCAATACCCCCATCATCAATAAACAAAACGAAACACACCTCACCAACACGTGATTACATTATCAGCCCATTCACACGGAAAATAATCGTCACAGAATCTCAAGATCCCAGCTTCAGGAGGGCCCTGCCACAGCGGAACGATTGGCCACCGCTGGCAGCTTGGTCGAGATTGCGTGGGCTGACCACCCTACAAACCGTGCCGAGCCGCGCCGGGGCCGTGCCGAGACAGCCCGGCACGGGTTGGTTTTTTGCTTTGTTTCCACCACTGCAGAAGTCGTCGAGCCGTGCCGCTGACGTCGTCGCGTTCTACTGATTGACGCCAATTGCAACGATTAGCCCCTTGTTTGGCCACGAGCCGAATTCAAGTTTCCCCCCTCCCTCCGTGATGCCAACGTTTCACGGTTTGCCTCTGGTTCGGCTCGACAAATCGCCAGTGGAAAACCACCCGTGCTGGCTCGGCTCGGATGCGCGAGCGGGAAATTCTTACACGAGGGCGCCCTGGCCCACGTCGCACGCCGGCGCTGGCCTGGCCCCGCCCCTGGAGCCGATCGTCTCCAGGCTGCCCGTGAAGAACCCTCGAGTCTCCTCGCTCCAGAGCCGCTCCGCGCTACCGCCCCCGCGTCTCTCCATCGACGACTTGACGGACGCGCGCCTCGCGCGTCACGACGACGGTGGCGACGGCGGCGACGGTGGACACCTCCGCCACGCGTTCCTAGATGCTCGTGGAGACGGAGCCGGTCCCCGAGCGGCTGCGCTCCCCGGACGATCCCGACGGCGGCTCCTCGTGTCCTCGGCACCCCGAGCGCCCAGTCGTGGGGGGCTCTGCCCCCGTCCGCGGGGGGCACGCGAATCCCAGGGCGCTGGCGCAGCGCGCCCTGAAGTCGACGTCGAAGTAGGCGTAGAGGACGGGGTTGAGGCAGCTGTTGACGAAGCCCCAGCAGAGCGCGAAGGGCAGCCCCACGAAGATGGCGCGCTCGAGGCCGCATCTCATGGGCAGCAAGTCGAGCCACACGAGTGCGTCCAGCGTCTTGAGGAGGTGGTAGGGCAGCCAGCAGGCGAGGAAGGTGACCACCAGCGTGGCGATGACTCGCAGCAGACGGCGGCGCTTCCGGCTCTCCCTGCGCACGTGCGTGAAGTGGCTCTGGATCTTGGCCATGATGCGCGCGTAGAAGAAGAGCAGCGCGCAGCCGGGCAGCACGAAGCCCAGGCCCGTGGAGGTGAGGCTGAGCCCCGCCGCCCACAGGTGCTCGGTGTCCGGCGACGCCACGGACGCGAAGCTTGCGCTGCACTGGATCGTCGTCGTCGTCGTCATCGCCATCGTCATCATCGCGGCGTCGGACATCGTCCTGTAGGAATCGTCCATCTCCTGTCCGTCGCCGTCGCTGTTGTAGCTGTAGTCCGTTTCGTTGCGACTGACATCGCCGCCGCCGCCGCCGTTGGGGTGTTCCACGGCGGACACGCCGCTGAAGATAATCGAGGGCAGCGAAGCGACGAGGGCGCTCAGCCAGATGACCGCGCAGCGTCGCAGCGCGGTCCTCCTGCCGCGCGGGCTCCCGGCGGGCCGCGAGCAGACGACGGCCTCGTAGCGGTCGAGGCTGAGGCAGGTGAGGCAGAAGATGCTCGCGTACATATTGAGCATGACCACGCAGCTGCTGAGGGTGCAGAGGAAGCCCCCGAAGGGCCAGTGGTAGCCCAGGGCCGTGTAGGCGGCCCAGAGGGGCAGCGTGAGCACGAACACGAGGTCGGCGGAGGCGAGGCTGGCGATGTAGAGATCCGTGTTGCGCTTGCGCGTCTTGAGGCGCGCGATGGTCCACACCACGAGGCCGTTGCCCACGAGGCCGCACACGAACACCAGCGAGTAGACGATGGGGATGAGCGTCGGCGTGACGTTCCACTCGCTGTAGTCGCACTCCGCGGCGGCGGTGGTCGTGGTGGCGGTGTCGTTGAGATTTGTGAAGTCGGTGGGGGTGACGGCACCCCCATAATCCGACTCCAAGGATGATGGATCCATGAGAGGTGGAGGCGAGAGGTGGGAGATGCGGAGAGATGGGAAGGTGGGGGGGATGAAGGTGGAGAGAGGTTGAGATCAGAGAGAGGCTAATCAAAGAATGACTTCAATGAGATGCAGGGAGACACGAAGTGGAGAGTGGTGGAGAAGATTGAGTCGTGGAGTGGAGTGGCTATTGAGAGGGTGTCAGAGAAGATGCTGCGGAGGATGGAGACGAGAGGGAGTCGGGGAGCGCGTGGGAGGATGCTGATTAAGAGACACAGAGCTAGAGAGAGGATTTAGGGAGAGGGGTTTGGAGAGCGTTGAGGGATGAAGAGTAGGAGGCACCGTCGTGACAGATAGAGAGAAATAGAGAGAGATAAGATAAATCGTGTCGAGAAGGGGAGTCCTGGAAATCGTGCAGAAGATAATAAGTGGATGGCGAGAGGAGAGAGAGAGAGAGGTGGGGTCAGGGAGAGAGCGTGCGGAGAGTTCGGGAAGAGTGAAAGAGGAGGATGCCAAACTTCCACGGATGCCGTTCGCTTCCTCTCCGCTCACCTCCCGTGGGATCTCACTGCTCGCTCCTCCTTCCCTCCCCTCTCCACCTCTCACCCCTCTCCTCCTCCTCCTTGTCCTCTTCTCTTTGCTCTCTCTTCGGTCAACGAGACGCAGCTTTAAACGTCGGCGCACCGAGCGCACGTGACACTGCGAGCGTGAACGCGCGTGACACTGAGCGAGACGCGATGCGTTGGTGTGGCCGCCTCCACGTGACACTGAGCGAGACGCGATGCGTTGGTGTTGCCGCCTCCACGTGACACTGAGCGAGACGCGATGCGTTGGTGTTGCCGCCTCCACGTGACACTGAGCGAGACGCGATGCGTTGGTGTTGCCGCCTCCACGTGACACTGAGCGAGACGCGATGCGTTGGTGTTGCCGCCTCCACGTGACACTGAGCGAGACGCGATGCGTTGGTGTTGCCGCCTCCACGTGACACTGAGCGAGACGCGATGCGTTGGTGTTGCCGCCTCCACGTGACACTGAGCGAGACGCGATGCGTTTGTGTGGCCGCCTCCACGACAAACGGAGTGCGTGGCACGCGGAGGCTATCGCCGGCAGATCTGTTCCCTTCTTCCCTCTTAAAATCAGTCCTTCCCCAATCCAATACCAACTCGCAGCTGGTATGGACCAGGAGGCGAGGAGAGGGGGGCCTGGGTTGGGGGGGTGGGGAATGGGCGTGGGGCGGCAGCGGGTGGGATGGGTTGTGTGTGTGGGGGGGGGGGGGTGTAATGGGTCCTTGTGTGGAAGCCGGTAGGGGAGGAAGGTGGGTGCGGGAGAATGGTTCTGTGGAGTCGGGGGAAGAGTTCGATTAGCACGTGGTGGTGGTGGGTGTTGTGGGTGGTGGTGGGGGTTGGGGGGGGGTCAGGATAATGGGAGGAGGTTAATGATGGAGGTGAATCCATGTGCCCAGTAACGAGTTCATTTCCGAAGCCACGCGCTATCTGCGCCATCGCTTAGTGTGAGTGACCCCCAGGGGAGGGTGGGAGGGTGGGGGGGGGGACTCCCACCCATGCCCGCACAGTGACGTCGCTGCTCGCTGGCTTTCTCACTGATTGATGGGAGGAGAGGTCATGGAACGGGGAGGGGCGGGTTAAGGGGAGGGGCGAGATTGGAGGGAGGGGGAAGTGGGGGGGTTGGAGAGGTTTTGGTTGGGGCTATTCAACTTTCGGTGTTTGAAATTCAACCCTGTCCGATTGAAAGTGCAACTTATGGGATTAATAACAGCTCCAAAAGGCAACCGCAGCTCAGTCCAACATCGCTTTGGGTCTCTCCGCCGCGAGGAGGCCTCTCCGCGTCTTGCCGGGCAGAATCAGAATCTATATTTAGATTGCAGGAGGAATCCGAAGAGCTATAAAGCTCTTTTTTTCCCACAGATGTTCCAGCAGGAGCACGGCGTCAGAACGTTGCACTAACAAAAAAAAACCGATGCAAAAACACGATGGGAGTGCAGAGTATTTGAAAGGTAAAAAAAAATAACATCGCTTAATAAAACATACAAATACAACTAAACAATGTTTTATTTTAACTTGTTTTTTTTAGAAGCGACCTCGCCACAAATTATGGTTCAACGAAGTAGCTTACCGTGTGGAAATTGATAGCAGCAACAATAATCTAGAAGCATGTCGTGCAGGATAGAATCTTAGACTATACTTCACTGCTTTTGGTGAAGGTGCGAGAGCCGTGGATTAACCTCCTCCGATATCGTTCTGACGATTGCCGTGGCCGGGAAACGAACTCGGTCAGGCATTAGCCGAGTTCATAGGGCACGGCGCACTAACCACAGCGCCACCGCTCCACTCGAGGTCACTATGCATAATGTATGTAATTATATTCGTGCTGTGTACTGTGGGGAGCGGTGGTGTAGTGGTTAGCGCGCTGTGCTACGAACCCGTCGACCCGAGTTTGATTCCTGTTCACGGCCACCAGCACCAGTGACCATTATCTGAATCAGTCCTGGACCTCCCCTAGGTCGACTCAGCCTCAAAAGAGTACCTGTTGCGGTGCGTAAAAACATCGCCACTAGGGAAACAAAGGCGGCCGGGCGTGGTGTTGGCCACCCTCCCCTTCGCGAGCCTTGCCGGCCTTCATAGGTGCTACTCCCTAACAGCACTTGCCCTAAGAGTCTGTTAAGGCTATACGGGGGATCTTTGTATTTGTGTCGCTGTGTACCGTTTGTGTCTGTCCGTCTGTGCCTGCGCACCTGTCGAATCGACCTCAAATGAGTACCCGTGTGGCGGTGTCAACATCATTGGGGGAAACAAAGACGGCCGGGCGTGGTGTGCTGGCTCACAACACTTGTGTGCCGTGCCGACCTTCCTAGGTGCTCGCTCACAACACTTGCCCTGGATTATTGAATGCGTCTGTGAGGAGCTGCGATTGTTTCGCCCGCGCGAGTGCCGTGCCGGGTTTTATATTTTTACGATCTCTTCCCCCACATCCCTCCTGCTCCTGCTTCCACCCTCCCACTCGAAACTCTCATTTAGGGGATTTTACAACAACAGTAGCAAAAAAACGTTTCAACGTGTTGCCAACTCTGACTGAAACTGCTATTGCGGGGAATTTTAATTTTGAGTCAATAAAAAATATATGAATTAAAAAACTGTCTTCTTATTAAATTCTTCCCGGATTGCGTTCAACAGTTACCGGGAGACCATTGCTGATTCCAGTCGACATTCCCGGCCAATCCGGAAGGGTTGGCACCACACAGACTGACACGGGCTCACAGACAGACACGCGGGCTCACAGACAAACACACGGACAGACAGACACACGGACACACAGACAGGCACGGGCTCACAGACAGACACACGGACACACAGACAGACACACGGACACACAGACAGGCACGGGCTCACAGACAGACACACGGACTCACAGACAGACACGGCGATTTTGCAAGTCTAAGGTGTACCTTGACACCACGTGAAGTGTCTCAGGCTCGCTGGCAGGAGGCCACGGGACAGACCTATGAGTGCTGTTGGCTACATACGGTGCGAAAGAAGTTCAACATGTATACATACAGGGAGGGGCCCTGGGTTGACTTGACTGCGGTGACTGGGCGATGCACCACCACCCTGTGCTCCCCACTATGCCATCTCGCTGCTTTTTAGCCGCCCGGCACTCCGCTCGTTGTTGTGAGCGTGGTTCCTCTGCCCTCCGCTGTAATCGAAGGGCGAATTACCTCCAACTGCCCAAGCAGCGTCCTTCACGAGCCTCCCCCACGGACACACGGACCCACAGACAGACAAATGGACACTTCCTGCATCCCCGTCTCGTTTTATTCATCGGATCGGCCGCTGCTTCATGTCACAGCCATAGATCGCTCACGTCAATCAATCAGCGCAGAGGAGCACCCATCAATCACTGCAGTACATGCATACTGTACAAATGAGTATATATTGCAGGTCTATAGCTGTGTGCGTTTGGGGGAGGGGGTGGGGGTGAGATGGGATGGGTATGGGGTAGAAAAGTTAATCACAGTCCAATTCCCACCGTCAATTAAGCCTCGGTCACGTGACCAATGGTTAATTGCACTGAGGAGCGGGGAGGGGCTAGGAGGAGGAGGGGCGGGGCGCGGTGGAGGCGAGATGTGGAGGCGCGTTAATCCATCATCACAAATCGGCGCTTATGTTCATAACAAATATCCAGAGCAACAACACACACATAGCCAAGAAGCGAATTCTAAATAACGGCAGGCACCCCACGCGTCCTTTGGACGTCACCTTACGTCCCTCCCTCCCTCGGAACGCAAAATCCAGCCAGCGAAACTTGTTTCTAATCAAGTGTACCGTCGCAATGAAAGTGTGAAATGCATCTCAAACTGCGGGGGGACTGTGATCCTTTATTACGTTGGCAGTGGAGCACGAGCGCAAACAATACAGACGTCAGGAACACATTGTCCCTGAAGAGGAAGACAATATGGAATAGACGACGTTTCGAGGAATGATCCGCATTTATGTGCTATGAAGAAGAGCCATTGCTCTTTCGGCCACACGGTGCTTTGGATTCGTAATTATATTTACTGTTGGGTTAGATCGTGTATTGGTATCATGCCAATGTTTAGCTATAGCAGTGTTCGACAACCAATATAGAACTGTAAACTATTTTAATTTTGCAAGGTCTCGTGACCCACTGAACGAGGTAGCTTTTTTTCAGAAGGGACCTGGCCACAAATGATAGCTCAGTGCAGTGGCTCATTCATGTGGAAATTTACAGCAGCCAAATACGATGAACGCGTGATGTTTCTAAATGTGTGTGGGGGGGGGGGGGGGGAACCCCGAGGAACCGGAGAAAAACCCACACGACCACGGGAAGAGAGAGAGACGCAACCTCCAAATATACAGCAGCAAGCGTCAGGGTCGGAATCGAACCCACGACCCCCTGTACACCAGGCGAGGAAGTTAACATCTCATAGCCACCGAGGAATGTTGAATAACGAGCACAAATGTTCACAGTTTTGTCCGACGTTTCGCTGGATATCACATCGAGCATCGCCAGGCGTGAACAGCAGCTCGGCTCTCGCGTGAACGAGCTTGGCAGTGTCATCGACGATTGTGTTGAAGTTTGTTGTTTTTATACTGACAACAACAAAAATAAGTGTCGATTTAAATTCTTCGATTGTTTGACTGAATTCTCACAAGTGTCGAAGATAATGGAGTTCAGTCGGAGAGACGTGTTCGTCGTCACGTGACACACTCGCTAATACGTTCTTCTTAGCGCCTCCGATTGTCTGCCACCACCGCTGCAGGTGAAGCAAGGCAGGTGAGCCCGGAACACGGGTGAGTGGGAAAGGTGAGTGGGGAAGGTGAGTGCTAAGGCTATGCGTGAGCAGCGTCCAGGTGAGTGAGGCGGGTGGAGCGGGTGGGGTGAGGAGTACAGGTGAGTGGGGTGGGTGGAGCAGGTGAGGTGAGGAGTACAGGTGAGTGGGGTGGGTGGAGCAGGTGAGGTGAGGAGTACAGGTGAGTGGGGTGGGTGGAGCAGGTGGGGTGAGGAGTACAGGTGAGTGGGGTGGGTAGAGCGGGTGGGGTGAGGAGTACAGGTGAGTGGGGTGGGTAGAGCGGGTGGGGTGAGGAGTACAGGTGAGTGGGGTGGGTGGAGCAGGTGGGGTGAGGAGTACAGGTGAGTGGGGAAGGTGAGTGCTAAGGCTATGCGTGAGCAGCGCCCAGGTGAGTGGGGTGGGTGGAGCAGGTTCAAGGTGTTCTCAAGTGATGAGCAGCGACGCTTTGTTTTGCACAGCAGTGGCACAACGAACCAACGTAACGACAACGTTTCTATGGGACAGTCTTTCCTAGCGTGTGGCAGTGCGCATGTGTGTCGGTGTATCTCAGTGCGCGTCTGTGTGTGTGTCTGTGCGTGTGGGGAGTGGGTAGCGCGTTACGAGACCGGCTAGCCGAGTTCGATTCCCGCTCACGGCAGGCACCGGTGACGATTATCTGAATCGGTCCTGGGCCTCAGCTAGGTCGATTCAGCCTCAAATGGGCAAGCTAGTACGGTGTGGAGTAAAATAAAATTAAAACATCAGCACTGGGTGCTGACCACCCGTCCCCTCGTGTGCCGTGTCGGTCTTAAGAGGTGCTTGCTAGCAGCACTTGCCCCAAAAATCTGTTCAAGGCTACTTGGGGAATCTTTGTCTTGTGTGCCAGTGTGTATCGTAAGCCTCGACCGGGTCACATAAAGCAGAGGCGGCCGCTTGGGGAGGACGTGGCGAGATATTTTTGCGATGGATTTTATTTATTTACAGAAGTTTATTCATTAAAATCACAATGCATTCCGAGAAATCCATGACCTCCTTCCCTTTCGCAGTGCCCGACTTTGGAATGTCCTTTTGACCAATCTTAATATTCCACTTTTACCTTCTCGAGCCACGGATTAAATCTGTCACGATTGCGATCGCTATAACTCGTGCATTTGTTTTTTTACGTTTATTTTTTAAGAACTATGCCATTGTGTATCCTGATTTACAGAAAGTTCTGGCTTGGGCGGCGTGTAAATGAACGCGGCCTGTCACATTCACTCCCGGCAAAGGACATCTGATTTTCTCCAGGATAAACACAGATACTCTGATTTCGATTTAAAGCTTTCGTGACTGCAGGGATTCATCTTCTTGGTTCTTTCGGTAAAGTCACGTAGAAGGGAAGTAATAAAATAATAAAAATAAAACATAAAATATACGCTCCAAGCTTGGTGGTGCTTCATTCTTCGCCTGAGGACGGCTGCTTGCGTTGTGGCCGAAACGTCGTGAGAATTGTTTTATTATGTTTTATTTTTATTATTTTATTACTTCCCTTCTACGTGACTTTACCGAAAGAACCAAGAAGACAGATACTCTGATTCTCTATCGCCACTGCAGACCGTCTTGCGCTGTGGTCACTCCTTGGAATTGAGTCGCTTAGCTCCACGGAGCCTTGGCAGCTGGGCAAAATAAAGCCTGGAGTCTGAAAAATCGATCCCGATTCCACACGAATAGCAATGCAAACTCAATAAGTCTTAATGCAAGCGGATATAAAGTCCGCTTTACGGCGGGAACGAAAGCACGACATTAAAAGTCAAAGCCGGTGGGTTCCCTTGACGCATCTCTCCTGGTCACAGTTCACCACCCCACCTGAGCCCGTGGTGGACATTCCACGTTACTACGACCGGGGCCGGGACATCCGAGCCGAGAGCGCGAAAGTTCACGTCCGTGGCATCGCGTTACTTATCGCCACGAACGGGCGACTCGTGCTGGAATCGAGTCGGACTTTTGCGCAAGTCCGACGTTTCGGTCTCCGTGTGCGCGCGCGCGCCCGGCGGCGCCAGGAAGCGGCCGCAGCACAAAGCGGCGGCGGCGTCGCTCGCGTTCGACTCCTTGGCGGCGGCGCCGCCGCACGCGTCGGGGGTGTCGGATCGGGACGAGGGCTCGTCGCGAGACGCCGTCGCGGCGCCGGATCCTCCCGCCGAGCTGACCTGCGCGGCCATGAGCGCCTCGAGGGTGGCGCAGCGCAGCACCCCCAGGCACGTGGACCTGAAGTGCGGGTCGAAGTAGGCGTAGAGGAAGGGGTTGAGGCAGCTGTTCACGTAGGCGAGGCTCACCGTGTAGGGCAGCCCCACGAAAATGAAACGCTCCAGGCCGCAGCGCGTGGGCAGCACGCCGAAGTGAACGAGCGCGTTCGTGACCTTCACCGCGTGGAAGGGCAGCCAGCAGACGGTGAAGGTGAGCACCAGGTTGAAGATGGTCCTCAGCAGCCGGCGACGCTTGTCGCTCTCCCTGCGCACGTGCGTGAAGTGGTTCTGGATCTTGGCCATGATGCACGCGTAGCAGTAGATCATCACCACCTCGGGCAGCACGAAGCTCGCCGACGTGTGGAAGAGGCCCGCCATGGCGTTCCACCAGTCGGGAGACATCTCCCCGTTGCTGCCCAGCGAGGAGTACTCCACCACGCACACCACTCGGCCGCCGCTCGCGCCGTAGCCGTCGTCGTCGTCGTAGCTGACGTCGTCGGCGTCGGCGGGATCTTCGGCGATGGTCTTGGTGGTGGCCAGCGCGGCCGTGAACAGCGCCATGAGCGACGAGAAAGTCCAGACGCCGGCGAGCAGAGCCTTGGTCACGCGCGCCGTGCGGAACGAGTGGGACCTCAGCGAGCAGACGACGGCCACGTAGCGGTCGAGGCTGAGGCAGGTGAGGCAGAAGATGCTCGCGTACATGTTGAGCATGGACACGCAGCTGCTGAGGGTGCAGAGGAAGCCCCCGAAGGGCCAGTGGTAGTCCAGGGCCGTGTAGGCGGCCCAGAGGGGCAGCGTGAGCACGAAGACAAGGTCGGCGGAGGCGAGGCTGGCGATGTAGAGATCCGTGTTGCGCTTGCGCGTCTTGAGGCGCGCGATGGTCCACACCACGAGGCCGTTGCCCACGAGGCCGCACACGAACACCAGCGAGTAGACGATGGGGATGAGCGTCGGCGTGACGTTCCACTCGCTGTAGTCGCACTCCGCGCCCGCGGTGTCGTAGCCGTAGTTGTAGTCGTAGGGGAAGCCGCTACTCGTGTGGTTGGAACTCCCGGACGCGGTACTCGTCTCGTTGAACGATGGTGATGACGATGGTGATGCCGATGGTGATATTGGTGCTGATGATGTTGGGGAGGTCGAGTGCAACTCCGGGTGTTGATATGCCACCGTGATGCTGCTGGCACTGCCGCTGCTGATGCTGCTGCCGCTGGTGATGCTGATGGTGACGGCGGTGACGAGGACGACCGAGACGATATCCATTTGTGTGTGCGGGGAGTGGGGGTCTCTAGCAAAGATGGGGCTCAGTTGGAGCGGCAGGGTCCGCTTGTACGACGAGAGCTGTGGCGTGGGGATGGGGGGGGGTCCGTGTCGCTCAAGTCGTCGCACAGCACTCGCCTCGGATGATGCTGCCGCTGCTGTTTATATCAACGTCCGTGTCGCCTTCGCAAGGTCCCCAGGGCACCTCGCATCTACGCACAACGCTCCAGGTGTTCAAGAAGGAGGGTCAGCGCCCCCCCCCCCCCCACAAAGCTCCCTTCCTCGATTCCCAGCGTGCAGCACCCAAACAGAGTGGGGTGGGTGGGTGGGTGGAGATCTCACAAAACACAACAACAGCAACACAACAGCAACGCAACAACACAGAACGACACAGCAAACCAACACAACAACAACACAACAACAAGAACACGACACCAGAACAACAACACAACAACAACAACAGAACAACAACAGCACCACAGCACGCGCGCTCACGAATGGACCGCGCGCATGAAACAAGAGGCGAGTTTGCGGGCAACTCAGATGAGGAGGAGGAGGACTACGGCGAAACGAAACGCTCGCCCTAATTTATTCCGCTGGGAATAGCGGCGGAGATGTGTGACTGTTATCGCGACTCATTGCATGGAGCCAGTGACCGCAGGCCCTATGAGTGAGATTACGGTCACGGGGTCGAGTGTTAGGGGTAGGGGTGGAGGAGATGGGGGGAGGGTTAAGCAGCATGAGTCGTGTTTGGAGTTTACGCTTTGGGGTTTGGAGGGGGGTTGATTGGTGGAGGGGATTATTATTTTTTTTTTAAACGATATTATTTGGAAATTCTAATATTGTTACGAAACCCCAACTGCCGCTACTGTTAACGTCACGAGCTCTTTGATGTGATGATGATGCTGCTGCTGCTGTTGTTAATGATGGTGGTGATGCGTTGACTAATTTATTTTACTGTAAATAGCCGTGCTGGTTTCGTGATAAGTCGTTGGTGGTGGTGGCGGCGAGTATTATTATTCACGTTAGCCTGCGGAAAAGTCAAGACTCACACATTATCTCGAGATTTATATATTTATATACGCATGTGAATTATGGCCTGTTGCCACCCTCTGCCACTCCACTGCTGGATGAAGGCCTCCCGCCACGGCGCGTCGGACTTGGTAGGTTGTTTTGGTCATACTTCACCATCGCCGGTCAGTTGGGGATCGGTGAAGGGGGCTCGCACGCAAGGAGAAGGCTCATCACATATCACTCGCCACGTGGCATTGACCGTTGCTCGGAATATAACTCCGGTAGAATATCGGCCTAACCTTGCACGCTGGCCATTCGTCCTGAGCAGTTGATCCCACCAAATGCGACTTATACCCATGTATACTATTGGTTCGACAGAGGCAGGCAATTTAAGACACTCGCCCACTGCTTTCATTACCGCGCCGGGAGAATTAAAACTATTAAACTTTTATTTAATTTTGCCAGGTAAGACCCCGCTGAGCTACGATGTAGATATTTTTCAGAAGCGACCCGGCTGTCACAAATGATAGCAGCTCAACGAAGTGGCTTCTTGTCACGTGGACATTTAAATTGTCACGTGGACATTTAAAGCAACAGCCAAATAATCTCTACGCGTGTTTCTAAACGTGAAGGGTATAACGACGCCACCACGGGGAGAGAGACAACGCAAACCCCAAATATACAACAGGCGTCAGGGTCGGGATCGAACCCACGACCTCCTGTATACCAGGTGAGGTCGTGAAAACCTACGCCACCGAACCAGCGACCTCTGCATTGAAAGTCCAGTGTGCTGACCATATCACCCACAGCAGCAGCATCATCCCCTCGTTGTGATACTGCAATGTAGGAGGAGGAGGCTTCGACTTGTTTGGGGCATAGGTCAAGGGGTCAATACATTAGGAGGTCAATACGGCCAATGTAATGAAGCACAGTCGTTACGCAGCACTACCTCGTGTATAAGGGAGTTGAGGTGCTACGTGGTCCAGGGTGTGGCACCACATCGGGGGACTGCAGGAATGCGTCTCTCGACTCACGGTACTGAACGTGGACACCAACAGCACCACTTGAGTGGACAAAGCCCTGGCCCTCCAGCTGTCGTGGGTGGCACGTGGAGTGTGATGAGCGGGCAGACACGTGGCTGTCAGCTCAGGGCAGTTAACGGAGTTAAGGGCAGATACAAGGGGTGAGAGGGAAGGTCAGGCAGTGAAGGGAGTTGTTGAAAGGCAGTTAAGGTCGTTCAGTGAGTTGAATGAAGGATAAAATGGGGTGCCACCAGTCCCTTACCTCTGTAGAGTGTTTTGCTTGGGCACAAATAGAAAGATCCCCCCATAGCCTTAACAGACTGTTGGGGCAAGTGCTGTTAGCGAGCACCTATAAAGGCCGGAACGGCACACGAGGGGGTGTGTGGCCAACACCACGCCCGGCCGTCTTTGTCACCCCAGTGGCGATGTTTACACATTTGAGGCTGAGTCGACCTAGGGGAGGAGCCTCAGGACTGGTTCAAATAATCGTCAGTGATGTTGGCCGTGAGCGGGAATCGAACTCGGTCGCCAGCTTCGTAGCGCAGCGTAGCGCTAACCACTACACCACCACTCCCACGCGTACAGACATACAGACATACACACACGCACGCGCACGACTTCACAAATGAAAGTCAGGACGTTTCATCTCAATTCCTTTCTCGTGGTCAGAAATTTAAACATTTTATATCGAACCATCGTGGTTTAATAAACAAAAGCCGCAACAGCCGTACGACTGCGATAGTATTTATATTTTTTTAAGAACTGGAATACGGTCAAACCCCTCTTGGCGACGGAAATTGCCTGCACGAAACCGAGTTTAGCAAATACCCGTTAAAGGTTTAATTAGCTCCGATGGCATCTAAAGTTACCTTTTGTCACCCAAAAAAACGTACTCGTCTAATATTTAAACGATGGATATTAAATACGTAAAAAATACTACCAATATTATAAACACATACTGTTGAAAGAAACGTGGTCAATCGATGCATTAATTAATATTGACTGTACCCACAACAGCCCGTCGTTAACCTGGGAATGTTCGGTAAGTGAACACTTTAGGCTCATACGGAAACACTACACTACTATACACTACACTATACACTACACTATACACTACACTATACACTACACACTACACTATACACTACACTATACACTACACTATTACACTATACACTACTATACACTACACTATGCACTACTATACACTCACTACACTATGCACCACTATACACTATACTATACACTACACTATACACTACACTATACACTACACTATACACTACTATACACTACACTATACACTACACTATACACTACTATACACTACACTATACACTACTATACACTACACTATACACTACACTATACACTACACTATACACTATACACTACACTATACACTACACTATACACTACTATACACTACACTATATACTACTATACACTACACTATACACTACACTATACACTACACTATACACTACTATACACTACACTATACACTACACTATACACTACACTATACACTACTATACACTACACTATACACTACTATACACTACACTATACACTACACTATACACTACACTATACACTACACTACACTATACACTACACTATACACTACAATACACTACACTATACACTACACTATACACTACACTATACACTACAATACACTACACTATACACTACACTATACACTACACTATACACTACACTATAAACTATACTACACATTGGGCTCTATTAAGACCCGTCGTTACGCCATTAGTCGTTAACAGGGGTGGTCGTGATGATGGGTTCTACAAAATGGCCTTAAAAGTAAAAATATATATCATTTGCAACGTTTCGGGCAATGGACCTTCTTTATCTGCGACGAAGCGAGCATGTGCCACGCAGAAGGGTCATCGCCCGAAACGACGCCTAGTCTGTAGTTTTCCTTTCCGAGGCGACACATCCAGAGTTCTCGTCGCCTTCAAAGTTGTGAGACTGCCGTTGTTGAGTGTGCCTGTGCACCAGTGCCAACGCAGCACCCAGCCGTGTGGCGATGGCAGTGGCAGGGCCTTTGGTGGACAGCAGGGAGCGGTGCAGCGATCGTCTCCAGCAACAGAACCACTCAATTGTATTTGCTGGCGAAACGTCGGACTTCAGATTGTAAATGTTGCGTCTTGGCTCTCCAACACAACGGTGTGGCTGGACTAGAGACAAATTGGCCACGTTCTGTTTACGTGACAACCCCTTACTAACTGGCTGTGTCGGGTGGTGGCGGGTTTAACGACACTTTTATATATTTATGCGATCGAACCCAAACAACCTGTACCTTGCATGATATTGGCCGTGTTATACAGCCACCCCTGTTGTGTTGTACTGTACGCCTATGTGCTGTCACCTACACAACCCCCCCCCCGCCCCCCCAGCTGTCCAGCCTGGTGAGGTATGGTCAGAATAACCCCCTCGACCCGCAGCAGGGCGTGCAGATGCCCTGCGGTCTATCCAGCAGCAGATTGGCCAAAAGGGGCCTGTTGGTGTACAGGCTGGTCCAGATGTCTTGTGACCCCCCCCCCCCCACCAATTAATTTACCCCGAATAATTTTCTTCGTCCTTTGCATACTCATTTCTGTTTTTAATAAACCGAGTATTTATTTTTATTTTAGAAAGTATTACGTTTTAGAGAATTTGATGGGGGGGGGGGGGGGTCTCAAGACATCTGGACCACACTACCCAGCGACGGGGGCCACGTGACGGACCCTGGCTCTGTCGTGAGTCCGCGTGCCCACCGCGACCTCACGTGACTCAGCGCGGACATTGCAGCTGCAGACTCGCCCAAGTGCATCGCGCAAACCACTGCGTCACGTCACACTCACCACGACATTGTTTGTACCAAATAATAAAATGAAAACAGTGCAGGCCATGAAATAATACGTTTCAAGCAACGCACGGAAACATGCGCAAAAAACAACCGGCCTTTTACGCGTTATTCTAACCACATCGGCATAAGAGACATTTCTAAGGGTGAGCTTAATACAAGGGGGCCCTTAAAAGAAGGCAGAAAGAGCGTCTTTAAAGTCGTTGCTGGTTAAGAAGTGGGTGAGATGGTGGGATGAGGGGTTGCGCCAAGGCCGTAGCCATAGTCAACATTGGGGGGGACCAAATCTTTCCAGGGGGTCTGGGGGTCCGCCCCCCCCCCCCAGAAAAAAATCTAAATTTGAAAACAAATTTCCTGCCTAAAATATTGAAAAATTCACTAACACATGGGATTGAATTTTTATTTTATTTTT